TAAACTTTCATTTACTATCTATCACATCTTATATCGCTAACAAATGAGCTTGAGATTAGTTTATAAGATTTGAGTCATCATAATTAATTAGATATGTTTTGGGTAAATGATAGTTGTGCGAAGCCCTGAAGACAATTTTTTGCAACCTAATAGGGACAATATATATTTGGTTGGACATTTTAAATTCGAAGGTTTTTGCTTGAAATACACAATATTCTACTTTTTTTTTTTCGATGATCGGGATGTTCAAACTAAACGCGCACCTCAACTAATACCTTAGGACCCTATAACTATTAGTTAGGTAAGAGCTTTAGTGACTATCTATTTTAACAATCGAGAATGGACTCAAATTTAAGATTTCTTGAGTAATATACCCAAAGATCTCTATTGAATTACTCGACTACCCAAATGTAGTTCACAATATTCTACTTGGTTAGGTATAGAACTTCAAACTATCAATATGAGATGTGACAGTATATATATTTAACTAAAATTCTGTTATAACATTCTTTGAAACTGATAGAATATAACATAACAATCTAGTAGCCACTTCTATGACACTGTAACATTTCCATACTCTTTATATTCCAATTCTTTTTAAAGGCAATTCCCAATTTCTTAATGCAGTTTTCCAAATTGCTTTTTCTTTTAAAAGGCAAAGAGCCCACAAGCCCCTAGCATGCTCCATATTGCATTGCTCAAAAGTAATATGAATAATACTAGTTTTATAAAGAGGTATACAAAGAGTCATACAAAGAATAAAGCAAGAGAGAGAAACATACAAAGGGTCATACAAAGAGTAAAGAAAGAGAGAAAGAGACAATCATGAATTTCAAGGGCTGGATTTGGCTCTTTGTATGCCTCTTTGTAAGGTTAGTATTACTCAAATAATATATGCTCCTTTAATATCATTTAATTGCTTTTTACTTAAAGGAATTCTGAGCTTTAAATTCTTCCAAACCTTCGATGTATGAGATGAATAATTGTTGGGGTACTTCATTATGCCTTGAATATCCACTTCTTTAATCATACTGCCTTCCACCAGGTACAAAGTCTTCTCTACCGCATTAATATGATCAAACCTTTTCCAGCAAAAAATAACCCATTGAAATTATCTAATGAGCCTTACCAAAAATTATGAATTTTTTTATTAAATTGAGAAATTATATGAACCATGTATATACAAATTTCATATTTTCATTATCTGCTTAAATTAAGCCAATTCCCAATTTCAAATAACCGATATTACATGTGTTTTCATGTCTTATATGCTTTAAATATATACTAATTAAAGTTTGAGGACAGCAATTATATCCGAATAAGAATGTTCAACTTTAAATTAACAACTCAAAAGCGATGATCTATAATAATACATGTACGTGCAATCTTTTTTAATACATTGCAAATTATTATGTTATAATAAATCTTTGGCGGTTAAATTACATCATCACCCCTATCTACCACATCAAGAATGTCTTTCCCCCATTAGTTTCAGAAACTAACAATACCATCTCTGATGTTGAACTTATTTTGCCTATACATTTAATCAGAAAGAGGTTATCGTCTTGTGATCATCTTATACGATCACTTCATTTCCTCAAATTTTTGTAGTACGGGGTTTCCTTTCTTTCCATTTTTCATTATTGGCTTGGATCAAATAAAATGAAAATCTTGTTTTCTAATGCTAATAATTCATGATGGAGAACATCATGTTAATAATAAGGGAAAAACTCAACATCAACGACAATCTTACTCATCCAATTTCAAAATCTAACAAACTCGTTCGAAAATGATAAAATCTCCGTTTGGTTTATTATTTCTACCCATATTCCCAATCATATTTCCAAAATAATTGTTTGTTTTGTTAATTGAGAAATATTAGTATATATTTTTTTAATTACGTTTAGACCCTTTAAGTTTATTAATTTCATTAAATACAAAAAAAAAAAGTGTTTAAAAATTAACAAAACCACCCCCACCCACCCATACAAAATAGATTCCGACAATCACCGTCGGTGGTAGTCGGAATCTGTCACAACGGCCTACAAACGACTGGAACTGGTCGGTAATTCACCGATTTGGCCTTTAGCGACGGCCAGACAACGATGACCATATCTTTGGCCGTCGCTGACGACCAGATCTGGACTTTTGCGACCGTCAACGACCAGATCTAATCGGAAAAGACCATATCGACGCCCTACTCGCCAGATCCGACCGGTCTGCATTGTAACGCCATTTTTCGGCTAAATTCCGACGGTGGTGGTTGGAATTTGGCACTGTGGGTGGATGGGGGTGTTTTTGTCAATTTATAAAATTTTTATATATTAGGTGTTTAGTTAAATTAGCAAACATAGAGGGTTTTTTTTTTATAAATTTTTAAATTTTACCTCGTAATACTCCTTTATTCAACTACCCAATATTATTCCCAAAATTTTATCCAAAATAATAAAACAAACGGACCCATAAGTTTTTGAAATCAAAAAGGGTGAGATAGTCATTAAACCCTAGATAAAAGGGTAAAATTGTAATTGTAACCACACCATATTTCTTGTTAATTTGTTTTTTTCTTAATCTTTCCCAAACACAAAAATTTTCACATTGACCACACAAGCCCAAAGGGAAAGTTACTCCACATCACACAACACAAAAATAGATTAAACATCACCACATCATGGACCACTCAATTTTTATTCTTGGATTGATTGATCTCTGTGGTCCTCCAGATCTGCATACTATGACTCCAGACTGGGGTTCCACATTTAGTTACAAATACGGACCATTTGTCCACGTGTCATCAGAACGGTGGATATCTGACCTCCTGGGCCCTACTCCATGGCCCATCAATTATGTTTGCAGCCAACTTCACCTCTTGTGTATTATTATTGGGACTTGTGAGAGCCCTAGTCAAACGGGCGTTGTGGGTCCACGACACGTGGCACGATCACACTCTCCAATGCCCTCATATTTATTTTATTTTAGATAAAAAAAAAAAAAAAAAAGATTCTTGAAAGTTAAAACCGGATTTGATAAATCCTTTGACGTCCACTATGTAAAGTATTTAGAGCGATTCTTTCTTTTTTTGGCGGGTAAATCCCTAATTATACAAATAAAAAAACCCCTAACATTTTCCCGCTATCTTTTTGTCTTTTACTGACACTGACCCTCAAAAGAATGAACAGAAAGTAGTATTTTTCTTTTTCTTTTTTTCATTTTCTTAATTTAATCAAACACTGCAGACATGAGACATATTAGGGTTTTGTTTTTGAGTCCTCACATGCTTTCTCATACTGAGTAAAGAGACAAAAGCCAAATTTCTTTTTTGCGTCTTTTTTTCGTTATTAAAGAAAAATTAGGGCTTTCTCATGTTTTAATCAGCTAAAATGTGCACTAGATACTATTACTAGGGTTTTTATTGCAAAAGAATTTCTGGGTCCCTCTCATCTATTACATTCTAGTTGTTTTAATGAATACCCAATTCTTGTTCATTAATGGGTATTTTAGTGTGGTACCGTGCTTGGATAGTATAAAGTAATCTAAAACCCATGTGTATTTTGTTACGTAAATGCAAAAAAAAAAAAATTTTTTTTTTTTGCTTTAAAGTTTGAGTCTTTTTGTTGAAAGAGTTACAGTTAAGCCTACATTGTTAAAGGAAAAAGAGATATTGGTAAGAAGATGCTGTTTGGGAAGCACGGTCAGTCCCTTGAAGCAAATTTTCTTCCAAGATTTGGTCCTTGGTCAGGTAAACGAGTACTGAGTTGATGTACATTTAGAGTTTTCTAAGCAATGTGTCAAGGGTAGTTACTTGTTTTGCTTTTCTAAAAGGCCGAGTGAGTGTAGAATTTGTAGGGTTAATAGCTGAGAAATCCTCTTTTTGTTGCACATTGAGCTTGTCTCTTGCTTTAATGGTGTTGGGAAAGCCTCATAGTCTGGCAAATGGTGCTTGTTTCTGGCTCTGGGTTGTTTTTGTAGACGTTGAAGATAAATTATTGTTTTTATGTTAATTTTGCCCTAATTGGCATTGGCCTAGTGTTCAGTTGGGTTTGTTTCTATTTGTGGAGTAGCAAGCTAGAGAGCCCCCTTCTGTCTTTGAGTTTATCTTGTATCATTCTGACTGGATGAATATGAAGCTGTTTAGGCTTCTACTTTTATCCTTGTTTTTCTTTCATGCCATGGGTCAGCTTCCTTCACAAGACATTTTGGCATTGCTTGAATTCAAGAAAGGAATCAAGAATGACCCCACTGGTTATGTCCTTGATTCATGGAATGAGGAGTCCATTGACTTTAATGGTTGCCCCTCTTCTTGGAATGGAGTAATATGTAATGGTGGAAATGTTGCTGGTGTTGTCCTTGATAACTTAGGTCTGTCGGCTGTTGCAGATTTGAGTGTGTTTGCGAATCTCACAATGCTTGTGAAACTTTCCATGTCAAACAACTCCATAACAGGCGTAATACCCGACAATATAGGCGACTTCAAAAGCCTTAAGTTTCTTGATGTCTCTGATAATCTATTTTCTTCATCGTTACCACCGGGGATTGTTAAATTAGAGAGCTTACTGAATCTCTCATTAGCTGGGAACAACTTCTCGGGCTCAGTTCCAGATTCAGCATCAGGGCTTGTTTCAATCCAATCTTTGGACTTAAGTAGCAATTCCTTTTCTGGGTCGCTGCCGAAATCATTGACGAGGCTGAATAACTTGGTGTATCTAAACCTATCGTCTAATAGATTTATCAAGACAATCCCAAAAGGGTTTGAACTGATTTCTGGTCTTCAGGTGCTGGACCTGCATGGCAACATGCTTGATGGTCATCTTGATGGGGAGTTTTTCCTTTTGACAAATGTCAGTCATGTTGATTTTAGTGGGAATATGTTAGTGAGCTCTAGCTCTCAGAAACTGTTACCTGGTATCTCTCCAAGTGTTAAGTACTTAAATCTTAGCCACAACCTACTTACTGGGTCACTGGTGAATGGAGGTGAGCTAGAGCTCTTTGAAAACTTGAAAGTGTTGGATCTGAGCTATAATCAGTTTTCTGGAGAATTGCCTGGATTCGATTTTGTTTATGAGCTTCTGGTTCTCAAGCTCAGCAACAACAAATTTTCAGGGTTTATTCCTAATGATTTGTTGAAAGGAGATTCCTTGCTGGTAACTGAATTGGATTTGAGTGGCAACAATCTCTCAGGCATGCCTTGCATTTCTATTAGTTTCTTTGAGCTACATTATTCTTATGTTCAGTAATAAATGATATTAGCTGCTTAATCATGCTTACTTTGGCCTGTTATGCACCTGACATTTTACTTCGTCTTTCAGGGCCAGTAAGTACGATTTTGTCAACAACTCTTCAGGTACTTAATCTCTCCTCTAATGCACTCACAGGTGAACTTCCTGTTCTTACTGGAAGCCTTTCTGTACTTGATCTTTCAAATAATCAATTTGAAGGAAATCTGACTAGAATGGTGAAGTGGGGTAACATTGAATATCTTGATCTCAGCCAAAATCATTTGACAGGGTCTATCCCTGAGGTAACAGCACAATTTTTGCGTTTAAATTATCTCAATCTATCTCGAAATTCCTTTAGTAGCTCTCTCGCAAAGGTTATTACTCAGTATCCAAAGCTTAGAGTCCTTGATCTCAGTTCCAACCAGTTAGACGGGTCTATTCTAGCTGATCTCTTAACTTCATCCACATTGCAAGAACTCCACCTCTCGAATAATTTACTCACTGGTGCAATTGAGTTCTCTCCACCTAGTAAATCCACTCTGGAGGTTCTTGATCTTTCCCATAACCAGTTTAATGGCTTTTTTCCTGATCGACTTGAATCATTCACTGGACTTCAAGTGCTCAATCTTGCAGGAAATAATATATCTGGTTCTCTGCCAACTTCTATGGCTAACATGAGCTCTCTAAGCTTATTAGATATATCCCAGAATCATTTTTCTGGTCCTTTACCAAACAACTTGCCCAACACCCTTGAAGCCTTTAATGTTTCATACAATGAGTTTTCTGGGGTTGTTCCTGAAAATCTGAGGAAGTTTCCTAGTTCTTCTTTTTATCCTGGAAACGCCAAATTACGTTTTCCAGGTGGTCCTCCTGGATCAGGCAACTCCCCTGCTGAAAGTTCGAAGAAGAAATCTATCAACACCATTGTCAAAGTCATTGTGATAGTTTCATGTATAATTGCTGTTATCATTCTTATCCTGCTTGCTATCTTCATACATTACATCCGCATATCGAGAAGACTGCCACCAGAACATGCTACAGAGAAAGATATACGCAGGCGTGCTCTATCAAACCCCTCTGGCACTACTGGAATAGGTGGTGGGGGGCCTTTGATTGTTTCAACAGAAGATCTTGTGGCTTCGAGGAAAGGATCATCATCTGGGATTATGAGCCCTGATGAGAAAATGGCAGCAGTAACTGGCTTCTCACCATCAAAGACTAGCCATTTGTCTTGGTCTCCAGAGTCTGGGGATTCATTCACAGCTGAAAACTTTGCAAGATTGGATGTGAGATCACCAGATCGATTGGTTGGTGAGCTGCATTTTCTTGATGAGACACTTAGTTTGACACCTGAGCAGCTATCAAGGGCCCCTGCCGAAGTGTTAGGGAGGAGTAGTCATGGGACTTCTTATCGAGCAACACTGGAGAATGGGGTGTTCTTGACAGTAAAGTGGTTGAGAGAGGGAGTAGCAAAACAGAGAAAGGAGTTTGCTAAGGAGGCTAAAAAATTTGCTAATATCAGGCATCCAAATGTTGTGGGTTTGAGGGGGTACTATTGGGGACCTACACAGCATGAGAAGCTCATTCTTTCAGATTATGTCTCACCTGGAAGTCTAGCAAGCTTTCTTTATGGTAACATTTTGCCCTGATATGTTTCTCAACTTAATAAATTAGGTTCATTGCGTGTTCCATTTCATCTTTCACTTAAAAGTCTTGCAATCTTATTTACGATAACATTTCTGGGTTCTTTTCTTTTGACATGTTGATTGTGATTGTAGATAAATAAATTATACAAAAAAGCTGATAAGAAATTCAATCAAATATACTGCTTGCAATTGCTAATAGCCTGGTATTCCTATGATTAGTACAACTTTGGCGTGGTTTTGGTAAACACACAATCAATCTACAGCTTTCCACTTGGGACTGCTGTCCCCAAATGCTTATGAATTTGGTAACATGTCATGGTGAATGATTGAATGGTGTGATCATTTCCTCATTGAAAGTAATGCTAAAAGTAAAAACTGCTGCTTGAAGGAAAGGGTCATCTTAAATAGAGAGCTCGTTTTCTTTGCTGTGCTTAAAAATGGTGATGGCAATGTCAACTATCTACTGGAATGTGCCATTTCCACAAAGCTTAGTTTTTGTATTGCATATCAAAGATGTATTAATATTATATGACTGTAATCTAATATGCCATTTTCACACTGAAGTTTTCCTCAACATATTGTTCTGTTTGGGTGGACAAACTTCACTTACATTGTAGAGACAGTCAGTCTAGGCTGATTATTTTTAGTAGTGACTACTTAAGGTTGAGAATGGCATGATCTATCATTCATGATAGTCTCTTCTCTTTTTGCATTGTGCATGCATGACTCTTATATTAGCTAAAAATTAATTTTCATTGATGATAAATCCTTTTTTTCAGATCGACCGGGAAGAAAAGGCCCTCCATTAACATGGGCCCAGAGACTCAAAATAGCAGTTGATGTTGCACGTGGCCTGAATTATCTCCATTTTGACCGGGCTGTTCCTCACGGTAACCTAAAAGCAACAAACGTACTATTAGACGGACCTGATCTTAATGCACGTGTTGCTGATTATTGCCTCCATCGCCTCATGACCCAAGCTGGCACCATTGAACAGATTCTTGATGCTGGGGTCTTGGGTTATCGTGCACCGGAGTTAGCTGCTTCCAAGAAACCACTCCCCTCCTTTAAGTCAGATGTATATGCCTTTGGAGTGATATTGCTGGAACTTCTAACCGGTAGATGTGCAGGTGATGTAATTTCTGGTGAAGGGGGAGGGGTTGATCTGACTGATTGGATGCGGTTGAAGGCTGCCGAAGGTCATGGCTCAGAGTGCTTTGATGCTGCATTGGTGTCGGAGATGGGGAATCCGGCAGCTGAGAAGGGAATGAAGGAGGTCCTTGGAATAGCTCTTCGATGTATACGATCTGTTTCTGAGAGGCCAGGTATCAAGACTATATATGAAGATCTATCATCCATATAGTTTTCATCGCACCTGGTTTATCTGGACCTGAATTTTGTGGGAATTTAATAGCTCATTAGCTCCCTTTTTTTAACATGTGATTTTGGCATTTAGTGTGATTAGCCAATTGTATTAACAACAGTTTGTTGTAAAAATGGAGCATATTTTGAATGGATACAAAATTTTCGCATGTTTGCCTTTTCCATGAGTTATTATCACCATCTGTTAGCTTTTCCAGTTCCATTGGCAGCTGCAATCTATAATTAGAGCATGTAGAAAAACTACATTGGCAGCAAAATTTTGACATAACAATTGTGTTTCTGCTGTGACAGTATATCAACTTCTAAATTAAAAATGTAAAACTTTTACATGATTACAGTCGAAGCCCTGAAATTATTCAAGTTATGAACCCACCTCTGTTTACATTTGACAATAATTGACATCAATGGTCATACTAAATTTATTGGCCATCCAAAGGACAAAATAAAGGAAGTTTGTGTCTGAGCTCAGTTGGGTACTCATTCTTTATGATAATGTTTATATGAAAAGGGGAAGCAAATCCATCTGAATCTTATCTTGTAATTCTAGTAGAAACATTTTATCTGCCTTTTCAGCTGATTCTTAGCCAATTCCAGGTTCCCTTTTGCATGTGCCTGTTCTTATTAAATAAATATATAAATAAATTAACATATATAAGAAATCAGTATGCTCAATCATCTGTTGGTGAGGTGGGGCATTTATATTTTAAAATAGTAAATAATAATAATAACAATAAGAAAATCTAGGTAAATACATTAGTAATAAAATTGACCACAAGACTAAGACCTCTGATAAAATAGTAAGATATTGTACTTTTATTTTATAATAAATAACAAAAAATAAAATAGAA